CTTCTTCTCCTCCTTCTCTTTATTCAATACTAGCTAGCTTACAGGCACAACGCAGAGAAAAACATAGAACAATCCCATCTCTCTGAATCTAAATCTTCTATTTTTTCAAAATTTTAGCCTATCTGTCTTTCTTCTACTTCTCTACTGCCAAACCCCCCTTTGCATTTACATGCGTGCAGCCCACTCATTAATAACTTGCCTTCTCTCATAGTTATTACTACTACCACCTTGACCTTCTCCTTAAATAGCACCCTCAGTACCTCACCTCACCTCATCTATCTATCTCTTTTACTGACCTTGAAGAAGTATAACAAATATGTGTTTGTTTCATCATGTGGGTTTATCAAAGGGTTTCTTACAGAGTTTATTGGCATTCTGTCCACCTCCTTCCACATTACATATTGTTTTCTTTCTCTTGTTAATGGAGGTGGGCATACTGTCAACATAGCTGTGTTGGCTTCTCTTTGTAAAACTCATGTGAGGAGGATCTCTTTTCTGCTGAAATCTATGGATCAGTGTAAATCATTCTTCAAAAGGTAAGGTTTCTAATTAATAAACTGCACTTTTTATGAGTCTGAACAAATTACTATCTCTTTATCCTTCCAATCTACTGTTTTTGTATTTGTATTTCCTTGATGCTCGAAGGTAAATAAGTTTTATTTTTGGGTGCATAGAGCTAGCCATGTTTGATTTCTTAGTCTTATTTGCACTATTGCCTTTCTCCTCAACCTCTCTCTATTTGCAGGCAAATTTGCTGTATATAGTGCCTATAGTTGATCACTTTGATATTGCTTTGGTCTGATCTAATGGGAATGAGAAGCAAAACAGATGGGAAAAGTCAAATCCTGCTGTCTTTTGCTTCCCTCTCTAGAAAATGGAACACTAGATAAACCTGTAAGAGGATTTTCTAGTGCTTATTATTATTTTTCATCTTTTCACTTTCGTCACTCATTTGTAGAGTCAAAATTAGCTTATTTGAGACCTGATCTAACAGTATTTTAGGTCAATATCTGTTCAACATCCAAGAAATATCCACTTATTTTTGGTATAAAGAAGGAAGATTAGTTCATTGATCATGCAATGTTGCAGACTTGTAGCTATGTTACGTTTTCTATTTTTGTGTTGTAAATAGGATACAGTAATAGATTGTTAGCTTTGTACTCCTGCAATAACATGCTCTTTTGTCATCATGGGTTCCATTGTCATCACAGAAAGAAGTAGTTGAACGTACATAACAAGAAAGAACTAATTATTACTGCCTCATGTACAGGTTTGAGTCAAATTTTGAACTTTTGAATTCTGACCATGTCACCATCTTTGTTGTGCTAAATCTTGATTATTTGGCTAGAATCCAGAGTTCTTTCCCATTGGGGTGAAGACTTGAGGGTTGAGACCATAGTCAAACTACTGTTTCATTATTTGTCTTGTGTTGCTCTTTGTTCACTTTTGCCTATTACTCAATCTAGCGGCTAGATTCTAGCCTGCATCTCTGCAATGAGTGAATCAGATTTAACTGTTTTGTGTTTAAGACTATATTCTCAACTACTACTTGCAGACATTGTGTAGTTTTAGCGTGCATGTTTAGTGTAGTGTCTCACATATGATATGGAGTGTATACCAAGCCAATTCAACGTGGAACAAAATAATGGATCTGAACCATATATGGTTGATTTGTAAAAAATTTAGGGTACCAATCATCTCTCTTATGCATTGGTTGTGTATTCAATAAAATTTGCTAGTGTTTCTCTATAATGAAGAGGATCTACTTGTCTGACATGATGACTAAAGTGCTTCCAGTGTGACTTATCACCTAATACTTTGAAGAATGTTCAGGTTATGGTTGATACACATTTTATGTTAATGTATTTCAACTTTATTATTATGTTAGTCTATTACATCGAACATCACCAAAAATAAAAAAGTATATTGCATCCAAAACAATGAATCACAATTTATCCACAAGGAATGTTAATTTTCCTGTTTGAGTATGCTATTAATGTTTTCTTAGTAACAGATTTTCAATCTTGCATATTGTTTTATACCCCTTTCATGGAAATATAATGCAAGTTTTATTCTACTTTCTTACCTGCAGATAATCAGCTTGTTGTTATTATAATCAGTGTGACTATTCTTTCCATCAAACTTGATATTGGAAAGATTCAAATATGTACAGATTTTAATAATTGATAAATTGTCTGCAGATCAGACATCATTATGGTATACATGTTAGCTCATCAAGCACAAGATATGTGATTTAACTGATAATCATTATGGTATAAAATCACCATATTTATTGGAGGTCTTATTGTGACTATTTTCGGTGGCCTAAACTGAACCTGGAAATTGGCAGGTTAGTAAAATGACTTGTGTTACTTTCTTCACAGTTCACATATCATAGAAGTCTCCATGTTTCTTGTTACTGCTTTCATGACCTCCAAATTTCATCTCACATAGGAATGAGATGGCTAAAGTATAGGAAATGACTGAACTTCTGTTGAATATCTGCTTTGGTTGAATATAGCACCAAACCTGATTGTTGCCTGTTGCTAGACTTGCCCTGTGAGCTTTGTCGTGCACGCCAGTTAGACCACATGGCCTGTCTAGATGCAGAGTTCCGGCCATGATTAATTTTAGATTTACTTGACACAGTTGTAATATAGGAGAACCAGTCTCCTACAAAATTATGATTCTTAAAACAAGACTTTGACAGATAGTCTGCAACAAAATTTGCTTGCCTATAGCATTTGCACACGTGAAACTTCATCAAAATTTCTACAGTTATGTACGAGTAGTTAAATCTCCAACATCATACTTTCCATCGATGATATTAATACAAAAAGATGAATCTGACTCTACTGTTACCTTCTTGAGTCCTAAGTCCACAGCCTTCAGAGGACCTTGTCTGACAGCCTCCAATTCAGCACCATTGTTTGCGAGAGCTTTGACAGCCATGTAAGAAAGCAACCAGAAGGAGGTGGTTGCTAATTTCTGCAGCATTTGGAATTGAGGCCTCATCTGTATTAATTTTATATCAACCAGAAGGAGGTGGTTGCCAGTCTATGTATTTCTGTTGATCGTGATCCACTGATAAACACACAATTATGATTAATGAACTCAGAAGCTTTAAACAAAGCTTTCTTCCATATTTGATCAGAGGTGGAAACAATATTTTGAATTTTTTTCAAGTTTCTTGCCTTCCAAATATACCATAACAAGCACATAAACATGTATTGCTCAAATCTGAATTTATTAAATGGTGGCTTGTTTGGCCAGCAAGCCCTCCCTCCATGTGACAAACCTTCTTGGAGCTCACATCTGCGGCAAAGTTTGCTTCCCTTCTGCTTACTGTGAGTAGCTCATTAGTTGCCTGATTTTTCAGCTCTTCCTATTGTGCCGACTGTTTCTAGTGAACAACATTAGTTTGAAAAGTTATCATTGCAGTTTCGGAGGTTTGCCTCTACCCATATCTTGAGCCACTGCAATTTTAACACCTTCAAAAATTTCTACCGTTTCAACAAAAGAATTTGTTTGTTTGAAAAATAACACCCCCACCAGCTGATCCTGGATTGCCTCGTGTTGCTCCAACGGAATTGACTTTAACAAATCCTGCAGGTAGAAGACTCTAGTAACATTCTAATTTCTACAACCTGTGCTGGTTTGGTAGCTCTGGAGGGGAGCTCAAAGTTATAACGAATTTGCAGGTCAGAAATTGTATTTGACCACAATGATGTAAAATAGACTAGAGGGGGGATGAATAGTCCATTTTCAAAATTTAGAGGTAAAATGGATTAACTTGATGCAATCTTTCAAATAACACACAAGAAGAAACAAGATAAAGAAACTTAACAAAAAGATGTAACCATGTTGATTCAATTCAAACTCTACAAAGCAACAAGCTTGTTACCCTAGGCCGTTGGGGTAAATCCTATTTGTTAGAGTAGGTACTTGATGAGCAACTCCCAACTCTCAAGGATGTAGGAGCTGTAATTACTAACAAACACATTAACAGTATTAGTAGATAAAAACCTAATGCAAAAACTTGACTTACTGAGTAGAATCGTGACTCAGTCACTTTCCTTAATAAGACAAAATTTGCCCCGACGTGCTTCGATTTGATAGCAAATAGTCTCTCAAGATACAACTGCTACTGCAACTTCTGAGGTTGAGGATGCCCTGCAAAAGCCTATCGAACTAGCACTATGCTGCACTCTCAAGATCGATGGACCGACTGACTAGAAGGAGAGAAGAATGTTGTGTTTACTACTGTGTTAACTGTGTCTAAAGTGTATGACAGATTTCTCTTTATATAGGCAATGGGATTGAGAGATATGATATTCCTTACACAATGGTGTCCAATACACTAGAGGGGGGGGGGG